GGCGGCGTGTCATCCAGAATGGATCTTAGCATCTATGGATGTCGACAAAGCGTTCCTCAAAGGTCTGACCTATGAGGAACTTGCTCATGCCACCGGCGAGGAAACTCGCATGGTTTGCTTCACTCTTCCACCCGGAAGCGCCCAGGTGCTTCGGACACTACCAGGCTTCTCTTCTTACGATGAAAGCCGACATTGCCTCGGGTGCCTCAAGCCAGGGACGGGCACAAAGGGCGCCCCAAGAGCGTTCCCCCTCAAGCTTCGTACGACCACACGAGTTATAGGCCTCACACCGACAAGTTACGATCCTGAGTTTGAATTCAGTCAAGATCTGTTAACGGCAAAACATGTCGACGATATCAGCATGACAGGCCTAGAGAAAAACGTAGATGACTATGTACAACGTGTCGAACAGGTGTTTGGTAAATGCAAGCTCAACAAACATTATCATGCGAACTGCGCCGTTCGCTACACTCAGAATGAACAAGGGGATGTGATCATGGATCAGGACGAGTACATTAAACAACTACGTCCTATCACACACCCTGAACTTCCGGGAGCGGCGGCTGACGCCAAAGCTACCAAATTCATCACCGACATGTTCGTTCGCCTGCGAGGAGCTCTCGCCTATGCCCTTCCTACTCAAGTCTGGCTTATGGTGCATGTGGTCTCCTTCCAGAAAATCCAAGAGCCCGCCAACTTACAAGTCAGACGACTGAATGCTGCGACGCGAAAGTTGATCAGCAGCCCGAAACGCATCACCTTCCCTCGGATGAAACCGACGAGCGAAGTAGACATACACAGTGATTCGGGGTACCGGAAGCTCACCGGGGAGGAAGACGATGAGACCAAGGGCTACGGCATCCGTGGGGCTAACGTATTACGGCGAGGGAACTCGCCTCAAGGCAAGTCCGTTATCCACCTTTGCAACGGACTATGCAAATCACACCGTCTGCAGGTGAGGTCCAGCTATGCCGCTGAGGCACTGACAGCTGCACACAACCTTGATGAATGTTATCCCACGCTCATCACCCTCCACGAGCTCAAGGCAGGGGCACTTACTCCACGACAACTACGTGATATGCGTGAAGTTGGAGGCCTAGCCGTTCAAGTATCCCTTACTATAGACGCTGAGTCTGTATATAAATCGCTATCCAGCAAGGATCTTCAGATACCGACGGAACGGATTTTGCTGGGACATATCAGCTGGATACGTGAGCTCATGGATATAGGTATAGTGCATAACGTACAGTGGTGTGATACTAGAGACATGACCGCAGATGGGCATACCAAGGGGAGTATCGATCGGGAGCTGCTTTTGGAAGTGATGTGAAGCAGTTTGTTCCCTTTCGGGGTCCTGAGGACAGAAAGAAGCCTAAGTCAAATCAGTTTTAGTCTGTCCTTGTTGCCCCCGCGGTCCAGTCTGCCAGCACGGGCGCCTAATACAGAGGCGCCCTCCTAGTTGCTCGGAAACGAGCCTTACTTTTCACGCTTGGCAACGAGCCTGTTCAGATTGATTCAGGCTCTTTGCTTTAATACCCTTTTGCTCGGAGAGGTATAGCCTGTTTGGCTTACCTCTAGCCGGGCCGATAGCCCTTTGATGTCCAAAGGGCCATCTTGCGTATGCGCGAAAATGCTTTGCGAGGGAACTCGCCTTACAGTCTGGTGTTAGGCCAGACTGTACGTATTGTTTTTCTTGCAAACAGTCGTGCGCGCGGCCTTTGTGGAGCCTAACGGCTGCGCGGCTACACTCACCGTCTCCTCCCCCCCGACTTTAAGGGTAGCTCTTTGGGAGATGTTATATAGGATCGGGAGTATAGCTCGCGCGCCGTTGCCTTTGGCTCAAGGCACGCGCGCCCGATGTGCCCGGACAGTGCTGTTGTTCGCTACGTGCTGGGAACGTCATTACATCGATCTTATCCTATCTTATCCGTCCACTCCCCATACTGAACTACCCCAGCATGGCATTGGACGCTATCTGCCATCCGTTTCCCATGGAATCGGATGCTATTTGAATTACCATAGTCACTTCAGACTTAAGGTGTGTTGTCAATGCATTTGTTACCTGGGTTTCTCCGTCGCGCAGTTTTGGGAGCGGTTCAGATGGCCCAGAGACGCTCCACAACGCCCGAATGGACCCCGAAGACGACTTCAGAAAGCTCCAGTGGTAGCCAACGACTGCTCACGACAGCGTTTGGAATGGACCCTGACAGCCCAAAGACGGCTCAAGAGAGACCCCTGACGGTGCGAAAAAGGCCCCCTAAACAGCAACGAGGCGCGCCAAGACGGCCCAAGAAACCATGAGCACCCCCAGGGGGCCCCTCAAAGGCTTCAGGAGACCCAAAAGACACCCCTGACGGCCCCCAAGACATCCCCTAGGGAACTCCAAGACAGTCCTAAGTCACTCCAAGAAGAGCCCCAAGAGTCCACGACAATCCAAGCTGGCCCGTATCATAGTTTTGACGCGTCGCGTAACCCCACCAGTCCATCCAAAGACGATGACCAGAGGAGTTGCCTCGATCAGGGAAGTGGGCAGCACACAGAGCAAGGGTCCCTCTTGGAGCGTTCTTGGGGCCGTCTTTTCTTGGGACTCCATTGGGCCTCTCTTGTAGCCCTCAGGTCAACTTGGAGCGGTCCTGGGGGCCTCTTGGAGCGTGTTGGGGTTTCTTGGGGGTCTCTTTGGGGCACTAGGGGGCCATCACGTGTAACACCTCGTGTACCCAGGCGCGGGAGAGTCAATTTTGAGGATGATAGGGCTTACGAGAGTGCTGACGACGAGGAGAAGGAGTAGGCAGGAGGAGGAAGTGCAGGAGGAGGAGGGGGAGGAGGAAGATGAACGCTGGCACATAGGACACCTGTTGTATTCACTTCTGGAGGAGCTTGAATGGAACTCGTTTGGGTCGCCTTGGGGTCCAGAAGCGTAGATCTTTCAGTCTTTTCGAAGGTTCGTGGCCTTGGGAGGGTGGGCGACGCACGCGTTACCGCGAGGGTACAGGCCGGGGCAGCTTAGAAGGACACAGCAACCTTACACGACAGTCCTTGGGATTCTATCACGCCTCAACGTGCCTGCGGACACGGTGGCGGACAACATAAGCACGGTACCGATTATGTTTTTTCATCCTAGCCCCTCTCTTCACAACGTCTTGCCTCCTTATCATGCTTTATTTCCAATCCTCATTCCTGTCTTCCTTCGCTCCTCCACGCCCATGCTCCGCCGCCTCAAGCTTCTCCCCCCTCCCCCCCTTGGCTACATTACTCCCCCCCACTCCTGGCACTGGCTCTGCTCCTTCTCTGAAGCAGTCAGTGGTGGAATGAGGGGCAAGGCGGTTGGGCGGGAGGAGGAGCGGAGGAGGGAGGGACAAACAGAGGGACAAAGGGAAGAGGGATGTGGACTAGAGTACTCTGGGGTTCTTAATAAGCGAGGGGGGGTAGCCCCCCGACGGGGGTCAACCTCGCCTCGTCGTCGCGCCGCGACGGGGTCGGAGCGCCTTCGGCGCGCGGTGGCTGCCCGCGACGGGGGTCGATGTGGCGCTGTCGGCGGGGGTGACGCCCCTCCCCCGACGCTTGTTAAGAAACTCGAGTAACCCCAGGATGCCCCAGTCCCTTTCATCACTGGTCCCTGTAAGCACCTGCTCACTGCGCGAAGCGCTCCCTCGAATAGACGAGCGCCACGGCCTGGCGGGCGCTGCGCTCTGAGAGCACTTGCCCTCAATCCGTCGAGCTGCAAGGACCGTGACGGGGCGGGGAGGGGGCGCGGCAGTTCCAGGAGGCTTGTCCAGCGGCAGCGCCGCTCTGAAACAGGAGTGCCTCGGCAGGGAAGGGATAAAGGGTCGTTCCTTCTCCTTGTTTCTCAATTGCCGTAGAACTGGCGACGACGACGACGACGATTAAATGGAAAAGCGCCTCTCTCTCACACACACGCCGAAGGGCCGGCGGATGGCGCAGTCTTGAGCGGGAGTTTTGTTTCGAAACGGAGCCGCTCCCCCACCCCCGAAATTGCTGCACAATCGCGTACGCGTGGCAGCCGAGATTGAGGAGGTCTCGGGCGATAGCCTCTAAAAAGCGGCCCTCTTGCCATCTGTGTAAGTGCTGGACTGCTTAAAGAGGAGTGCGCGCGGAGTCAGATTTTCAAACGGCACGCCCTCTGTGCGATGTTTGTGAGACGAGCGTGCGCGGCGCCAAGGGGAGGGCACCATTTTGAAAACCGTGTCCTTTTCATCCGTATGATTGTTGGAAGGTTCAAGCTTCAGGATCGTAGACTGTGAAGAAGTCTAAGGCGAAACGCCCAGCCCGCCCGAATGGTACGTCTGGTAGTGATGCAGGGAGAGGTCTCTTATAACGGAGAAGGACGGAGGAGGAAGAGGAGGTGGAGGAGGAGGCGTGTGAGAAGGTCGAGGAACAGCAGCCTGAGCCCCAGGAGGAGTATCGTCAGCAGCAGGAGCCGCGGCGGAGAATGGGGAAGATGGGAAGGGAGGAGGCGAAGGCGGTGCACCGAGGGAGAGCGGAGCCGAGAGGAAGGGCCAAGAGACGCGGGAGGTGCAGGCGGGGAAGGCGGAGGAGGGTGCGGGCCTGCGGAGAGGCAGAGCGTGGGGGCGGGGAGCGTGGCGCGGGAGGGGCGGCAGGAGTAAGGAGGGGGGGGGGGGGGGGCGAGCCCACCAGGCGCTCGGCGCCCAGCGCCCAATTTCCCCTGGCAGGTTCAGGAGGAGGATGGCGAGGAGGAGGATGGCGAGGAGGAGGAGGAGGAGGAGGAGGAGGGGGAGGAGGAGGAGGAGGAGGAGGAGGAGGAGGGGGCGACGACGACTGGGAAAGCGTAGGCACATCAGGAGGACGATGAGGAGAAGAAGCAGCAGCAGCAGCAGCATGAAGAGGAGAATGAGGAGGAGGTGTTTGGGTGGGAGGGGCGGAGCTCGGGGGTGCGGACGAGGACGAGGACGAGAAGGAGGAGGGTGGGGAGACGACAAGCTGCAGGAGCCTCGCCCCCCCACCTCCTGCCGATGCGGGAGGTTGCGCTCGGGGCCAGCGGCATGGACTTCCAGCTCGTCTCGAGGAGCATGCGGGGGAGGGCGAGGCCGCTCCCTTCGGCGAGGGCCCCACCACAGCACTCGGGTGGGCCCTCCGCACTTGTGCTGCATGCAGCTGGCACGAGGTTAGAAACAGCCTTGTTACCCAAACAGTTGCTTCACTACGGGGTTCACACTTCTGTTCTAATGCTTTGGGCCGGACGGTCGCTCTGGCGGCTCTGTTGCCGCCGTCGCCGGCCCGTCGCCGCCTCGTCGCCGCCCATCGTCTGGGCCTAACGGTCGGTCTGGCGGCCATGTTGCCGCCGTCGCCGCTGGCCGACTTTTTTTTGCAGGGCGACCCTCCGCGGGGGGAAGAGGGCAGTCACTCTCTCGTCAGGTATCAGGGGCCCCGCCCGCGCTTGCCGATAGAGGGGGATGCGGAAGAAGAGGCAGAGGGAAGGAAGGAAGACAACAGGTCCCACCCGCCGTCGGCTCACAGCCGCGCAGCTCGAGCGGATTAAGAACAACCCGAAGAAGCTAACATTGAATAACCAGAAATTCTGATTTCCTGGACCGGCGCTGGCACCCCCTGGCGGCGCTGGAGGTTTTTGGCGCGCTCCGCCGCCCAAGGAGGGGGGGTCCAGCGCCGATCCAGGAAATCCGCGCGGAGCTCCGAAAGGGGGTGCCCGTATGATCGTCGCGCTTGGGTTCTCAATCTTGGAAAGCTCTTCGTCTGGGGGTATCTCTGCGGCGCCTGGGGTCATCGGCATAGGGGCCCGCGCTCATGGCCTGCGTTTTTCAGGAGGGGAAGAAACACACAGACACAATTAATCGCCGATTCCTCAGAAAATATGGGAAAATATGGGCAGTGGGGGGGAAGGCAGAAACCCAGAAAATATGGGAAAATATGGGGAATCCTGTTATTTGTGTGTATTTATGTGTGTGACCCAGGGCCCCTTCAGTTTTTGTGGCCACGTTTCAGCTGTTCTCGTGCTTGTCCGAAGCCCGGGGTGGGCGAGAGAGACGCGAGGGTCAGGATGGATCTAGGCCGCCTACAGATGAGGTCGGAGCAGACGGGGTCGCAGGAGCGCGCTTCATCGCCGACACATCGGCGAGACGGCCAGATGTAGAGCTCGATGTTCTCCGCGCCGACGTCGCCGATGCATCGGCGATGCGGCGCGATCTTCCGAGCCCATCTTAGTCTCGGACCTCATCTGGGAGGCATTACATGGAGGAAGCGGATCCTGGAGGCTGGAGGAACCGGATTTTGCGTGTCTTCCGCCGCGATTCGGGCCCTCTGGCCCCGACGCTGTCAGGGAACGGCTCGGGAGGAAGAGCTGGTCCTGGGGAGAGTCGGGGACGGCCATGGCTGGGTCCATTATGTCTCCTAGAATTTCATGGCCCCCTCTTCTCCGTTCGGTTCGTCCCTTGGCCCCCCCCCCCCCTGGCCCGCGCACTTGCCTCGGGCCATGATGTGCGGGACCCCCTCATGGGCGCCCCCCTCATCGGACGCCCCCGAGAGAAGAGCCTGTCCTGGGGAGGAGCCCCGGAGTCATGAGTTTTGCGCAGGCGGGATGGGCGGGACTGCAGCAGCTTGATGGTGTTCGTCTTGCTCGTATTCTCGGCGGCTGTCGGAGGGGGTGGGTGTGCACGTTGCGCAAGCGCATTGACTTGTCTTCGGGTTACAGCAGGAGGAGGAGGAGGAGGACTAGGAGGAGGAGGAGGAGGGGGAGAAGGACAAGCTAGGTGCGCTCGCGTCATATCTGACGTCATACCCCTCCCCCCCATCCCTTACCATGGCGTAGATCCCCTCTCTATTCGCACAGTCGGATGTCGAGCAGGGCAATGATCCCGAAAGGGTGCGCGATGCAATGTAGAGCACGGCATGGCATGGCGTAGAAGAGCATCGCAAAGCGTAGTATGTCACAGCATGGCGTGGCGTGGCGTAGTGAAGAATTGCATCACAAAGCTTTGCAACGCAAAGCATGACATCCCACAGCGGCCCCGAACATAACATTGCATAGCATGGCGTTGAAGATCAAAGCGTAGCATGACATAGCACGACGTGGCACTTAAGCACTGCATATCACAGCTTCAGCTGAACGCATGGCATCGCGCAGCGGAACGCAACCTAGCATTGCATTGCATGCCGTGGCATGGCACGGGAAATGACGCCAGCGCTGCAGCGGGAGCACGATTCGGAACGAGCGGAAGCGCGGAAATGAGGCCAGCGCTGCAGCGGGAGCACGATTCGGAACGAGCGGAAGCACGGAAATGATGCCAGCGCTGCAGCGGGAGCACGATTCGGAACGAGCGGGGCCCAGGAATGAGGCCGGCGCCTCAGCGAGAACAGCAGTTTGAAAAAAAATGCAGGCGAAAACCCAACTCCGGGGAATCCTGTGTGTAAAAAAACAGTACGCAGGGGGAGGGGCGAACGCTCCCAACCCGTCATCAGGGGAAGGAGGAGAGTAGTAATATTGAGCAATTGTGGAGGATGAGGAGAAGACGGAGGCGAAGGCGACGAAGCCATGTGCTCGAACGGCCCCAGAGAGGGGCGCGCCAGGAGCGCACTGCGAACTGTATTCCTGGTGCTGGGTCGAGGAGGAAAAGCACAGGGTCTGACACCAGTTTCCCTGAGGGCAATATCTCATTTATAAAATCGTGCATCCAATCCGAAGGGATTTGCACATCCGCCTTCGTGGGAGGAATATGTATACATGCTTCTAGGTGTTCCACAGCCCTTCGGACCAGATGTCCAGCCCCGTACAAAGGTGCCCGAGTGTTCAATTTCCTGAAATGTTGACTTTGCACAGCGTTCCCCAATGATGGATAATGTCATATGTTTTCTCGTCGGTCGTCTCTTCATTCACCTCCAAACTCCCCCCCCCTATCTAATGGCCTTCGGCCCATCCCCCCACCGTGCCTGGGTTGTGGGTATGAAGCTTATTGGATGTTCGTTGGGATCTCGTGGGAGCCCTTTCGGAGGCAGTATGAAGGCCTCTTGGGGACGGTGTTGGTTCCTCTTGAGGGCCTCTTGCGGGCCTCTTGGAGCCCCTTGGGCGCCTCTTGGAGCCGCCTGAGGGCCTCTTGGGGCGGAAGGCTCGGATTTTCAGTTTGTGCTCCTTCGCTTGGGCCCCTTTTTGGAGCCGTTTTGAACCCTTTGGAGCCGTCTTGGGCGCCTAATCATAGTTTTTCCTACGGAAAACGTGGATTTTTAGCATACACGGCTTTTCGGCTTTCACAGCTTTGAGGACGGCCCAAGAGGCCCCCAAGACCGCCTCCGTAGCCATTTTGGCTCAAGCCATCTTGCCTCTCAAGCCCTTTTCCAGGCTTGTCTGGCAGTCACCCGCGGCGCCGTGGAGCCTGGGGGCCCGCGGGCGGGCTGGACTCTCTGTCCTCGGGCGCACAGGTGCAGGCGTGAGCGGCGCGAGCGTGTTGGGCTCGGAGGCCGACCCCGAGCCAGGCTGGGCGGGCGCTCTGCGGCCCTCGAGCGGAGGAGCTGGGCGTTGTCGGCAGCTTCGGTGCCGTCTGCCTGGGCGGGGCGCTCAAGCGGGTCAGGCTCGACGGGGTTCAGAGCGACGGCGTACTGGCGCCCGTGCTTCGGGAAGTTTCTGCGTTGCGGGTCTGGTCCGTCCCAGCGTCGTGCAGCTCAAGGGCTTTCCAGGTCGCGCAGGTCGGGGAGTACCAGCTGGTCTTCGAGTACGCGCCAGGCGGCCTCAACCGAGTCCTGACGGGCCACCAGCTGGCGGGCATCAAGCTGCCCATGGTGAGGGTCCTCCAGTATTTTGTCGACCTTCTCAGCCGGATCCATGCTTGCCACGTGCACCTCGTCACTCACCGCGATCTCAAGCCGCAGAACGTCCTCATCCGCCCCGTGGACGGCCTCGAGATCGGCGATTTTGGCTCCGAGCGCACCTTGCTGTTCCCCTCCAGAAGTACACCCAAGACGTCATAACCCTGTGGTACCGTGGCCCAGAGCTGCTGCTGGGACGTCCCCTGTACGGCCCTGAGGTGGACCTTTGGTCTGCCGGGTGCATCTTCGCTGAGATGGCCACCAGCCAGCCGACGTTCCCGGGAGGCTCCGACATAGGCACGTTCTTCAAGATTATGCAGTTGATGGGCTCCCCCACGGAGGAGGCCTGGCCAGGCTTCGAGCAGAGCCTCGCGCATTGGAGCTGCCACTTCCCGATGCGGCAGCCCGCTGTGTAGCCCTGACCCGACCTGCAAAGAGGCGCCCAGAGCTCGGCGAGCCCTGGGCGGACCTGAGCCGCGCGCCGCTGACCATACGAGACCCCGCCCGCCGCCCCACGGCTCGGAGGCCCCGGGGCCAGCCCTGCCACTCGGGAGGCCAGCCCCCCGCGCCGCGCGCGGCGGCCGCGCGCGCGGAGGCCGCGCGCGCGGAGCGCCAGGCCTCCCCGGAGGGAGCGCCAGGCGTTGGGGCAGCGGTGGCCCGGGAGGGGCCCGGAGAACAGGGGGGGAGTCATCTTGGGGCGGAGAGAGGCGCGCCTTTCTGGCGCGCCTTGGAGCCGAGGTGGCAGTTCGGGGGCCTCTATGCCCTCCAGAGGGCCGCCGCCCTGCACCCCGGCTGCCCCCCCGCGCTCATTGCCCCCCCCGCGGGTGCCTCGCCCGAGCTCCTCCCGTGAGCCAGCGAGTGTCTGCGCAGCAGCTCTGCGCAGCAGCGTTTCGCCGCACGTGTGTGTGTGTGTGTTGTGTGTGTGTGTGTTGTGTGTGTTGTGTGTTGTGTGTGTGTGTTGTGTGTGTTGTGTGTGTTGTGTGTGCGTGCGTGTGCGTGTTGTGTGTTGTGTGTGTGTGTGTTGTGTGTTGTGTGTGTTGTGTGTGTTGTGTGTGTTGTGTGTTGTGTGTTGTGTGTGTTGTGTGTGTTGTGTGTGCTGTGTGTGTTGTGTGTTGTGTGTTGTTTGTGTTTGTGTGTGCGTGTGCGTGTGCGTGTGCGTGTGCGTGTGCGTGTGCGTGTGCGTGTGCGTGTGCGTGTGCGTGTGCGTGTGCGTGTGCGTGTGCGTGGGCGTGGGCGTGGGCGTGGGCGTGGGCG